GTGTCTGGGGCAAGGTTGGTCTTACCTACCTCACAGGCTCACAGCCCCCTTACTGGTTTAGCCCCTGATCTGGTGTCCCTGGGCCCCTCCAGGCCAGTAGTGGGGAATACGCTGCAGCTATTGCACCTGGGGCTGTCTTCCCCCCAGGGAGCTCCCTGGGCAGGCAGAGTGAGGCTCTGGATGTCTCCAAGCCCTGCCCCAGGATGCAGTCGGGATGCCTCCTCCAACAGCAGCCACAATGTTGGCCTGAGCCCTGCTGTGAGATGTTGGGTAAGTTACCCGCGCTCTCTGTTCCTGTGTTTTTGACTAGGAGGACAGCAGCTGTAATTAGCCCACAGGGTTGTGTGAGTCTTTGAACAAGCGCCTATTTACAGAAGGCACAGCACCTGGAACATGGTAAAAATCTGATAAATGCCAGGTTTCATTACTGGTACCATTGTTTGCAAGCTGTGATCTGCCTATGCAGGTATGAACACACAGGTATACGAACACATTTCCATTTACACTCATAGTCCATGTGCATCTACGCACACACATGTGCCCGGCCCACACCCCACAGTGCTCCTCAGACCCTTCCTTTCCAGCGGGGTGGCTGCAGGCTGTCTCTCACAGGCGCTGGTCCCTGGCTTCCCACTGGACTCAGCCTCGGGAGGTGGTGAAGGGCTGGAGGGGGCGGTGAAGCCAGCTTGCTTCTCCCCCTTCCCAGAGCCCTCTCCTGCAGCTGTGTCTCCAGCTTCCATGGGGGATCCCGCCTCTCCCAGCCCTGCAGAGACAGTGATGGGAGCTTCCGCTGCTGCTCATCTCCCCCACTCACACCGGCCCATTTGTGTTTTCAGCTTCTCCACCTCCTCTCTGGCCATTGCTGAGCACGGACCCCCTCTGTCTTCAATGGGCAGACTGAATGATGCAGCCAACATTTACTCCCCCGGTGACCAAGTGGGCAGTGTTAGTATGCCCCCTTTTCTGTCTTTTTCTTTTCCTTTCTTTTTTTTTTTTTGGCAGTACTGGGGATTGAACACAGGGCCTTGTGAATGCTAGGGAAATGCTCTATTTCTGAGCTGCACCCCAGTTCTTTCTACTGTTATTTTGAGACACAACCTCATTATGTTGCCCAGGCTGGCCTCAAACTTTCAATCCTCCTGCCTCAGTCTCTGGAGTAGCTGGGATTAGAGGTGTACACCCGATGCCCAGTTAGCATTTCCTTTTAATAATTTCTCAGCTGGAGTATGACCATGAAGTGTCTGCCTCCTGTGCACACCTGCCTGACACACTCCTTCCCTGGGCCATGCTGAGAGGAACCTCAACCACACATGGCCATGTGGAGGCCCTGAAGGTGCAGGTACACACATCAACATGCCATGCACACATGAGTGTCACACACATGCCACAGGCACACTCATACTGCAGCAGAGATGCAGATGCAGGATGCACACATGTGCATGCACGCACACACACACTGCAGAAGGCAAGGAGCAAAGATGGGGAAAGAGCTGGATTCTGGCTCCAGGAAGTCAGGGAAATGGCTGAGTCCCAGACAGAGGGGCCCCTGGGCATTGGCTCTGCTGAGCATGCTGGCTGCCTGTGCAGACTCAAGTCCACACGCATGGATGTGAAAACATACAGCTGGAGACACACAGAGGAGCTCACATGTGTGCATGGACATACTCAGGTGTGCACACGAGTGCAGACACACATGCACACATAGACACTCTTGCTATGTGTGCACAGAGATTTGGATATGAGGGACAGAAGGCCATGTGTACACAGACCTATGTGCACTCACATGTGCACACAGAACCCTGTGTGCAATCATACCTGCAAACTTTAACACGCAGACAGTATGTGGCAAATCACACTCCTGCGCTCTTCCCCAGGCTGATGTGTGCACATAGACCCTGCAGACACAGCATGCACACATTACACACAGTTGGGCTCATTCCCTTGCCTCAGTCCGAGTCCTCAGAAAACGCCTGGGGAGAGAATCTGCTAGAATCAAGTCAACATACCCCAGTCCTCTGGTGATGCTGAGACTTGAGGGCAGCATCCTAGCCACAGGGCCCCCCAGATCTAGGCCTCCTAGCACAGGTAGGAGCTCACCAGGAGAGATGCGCATGACTGCTGGTCTGTCTAGAGATCCAAAGAGCTCCTTCCTCCAGGCCTCTCCCGGGACCACTAGCTGGTGTTTCACCATTAGCAGTCATGGGTGCTTTGCGGGGGGGCGGGGGGGGCTCAGGACGTGGCGTCTAGGTGAGTGATTCCGTTCTGGTCAGAGACTGGAGGCCTCCCAGAAATCATCTTTAACAGTGCTCTTAGCCCCACCCCTGTGCCCCCAGCCCACTCTTCTGCCCAGGACCTTGCTGGATCTCTTGGTGCTGCACTTCCCTGGCTGGGGCGCGGGCCCCTTCCCAGACTACTACCCTCTTCCCACTGAGCCCAAGCTCCTTTTCTCGGCTCCACCCAGGCCTGGGCCCTCCACAGAGCTCTGCCCCTCTCTCAGCACGCAGGGGCACACAGCCTCTTACTGGGACCACTCAGTGATGGGGGACAGGGAACGAGTGAGACCAGCTTTCACACCATGCCTTCTCCTTGGGCTCCCATTATGGGCGCAGGGCAGGAGGAGCACATAGGGCACTGAGGAAGAACGCGGGCTCTGCAGGCCCCAGGCCCCAGTTCACATCCAACTCTGTCTCCTGTCAGCTTAGGCCTAAGCCTGTTTCCCCATGTACAAAAGAGCTAATACTGTGTCCAAGATTGTTAGGTTCTGCTGGTCTACTCTGCACCCTGTCTTTTAGAAGCAGCTGAAGTTTTCTGAAGAACCCTCTTGTTCCAGCTCTCAGCCAAGGACTCCCACCCTCCTCCAGCTCCTACAAGGGGAGAAGGCACCAGAGTAGAGCTCACAGCCAACAGCTGAGAAAGAGTGTGGAGTTGCCTGTAGAGGGCCCGGCCCTGGGTGGTGCTGAGGAGAGGAGCTCAGGCACACTTTGAAGGAGGGCAGAAGCCTGGGAAGGGGCCCATGCCCCAGCCAGGGAGGAGCAACACTGAGAGGACATTCCTGGAGATCCAGCAAGGTCCTGAGAAGAGGCGTGAGCTGGGGTTATGGGGACAGGGCTATGAGCACTGTCAAAGACAATATCCAGGGGGCTGGGGACATAGCTCAGCAGCGCTGTGCCTGCCTTGTAAGTGCAAGGTCCTGAGCTCAATTCCCAGGGTACTGGAAAAAAAGAAGATGACTTCCAAGAGGCCTCCAGTCCCTGACCAGAGCAGTCATTCACCTAGGTGCCATGTCATCAAGCTGATCCCTGAAACTGGCCAGCTTTCCAAAACACAGGAGATTCACAGCAGCCACTCAAAAGGGGTGTGCTGACCAGAGCCCAGGCTAAGGAAGTCCCAGTTCAAACTATGAGGAGAGTAACTGCGAAACAGCTGGGTTACTTTCTGATCCCAGTGCTGCTCCCAGCACTTTTCTATCTATAAAAGCAACCTCCCCTGCCTGGCTGGCTCCTCGAATACTCATCACTTCATAGGATGCGGTGCTGCCGACTCTAGAATCACAGACAAAAGCCCATTATGATATTTAAACCAAATTTGTTATAATCTGTCTTCCACAGCCCTACAGGGAAGAGGGGCAGGGGTGGCCCTGGGCAATTTGGGCCCAGACTATGACAGCAGGGAGAGAGGGAGGTCTAGGGGGACGGGATTTCGTGTGAGCACCTGCAGAGCTGCCCTTATCTTGTGCGTACTCCCTCCTACCCCTAGGCCTGAGCCTAGAGAAGGGCTGCCCTAGGCTGGTTTCCCAGCCTGCCCTGCATGTCTCCTGAGGCCATTCCCACACCCCTCTCTGGGGATCTTCAACTGGGCCCCAAGTGAGGCCCAGGACTGCTGCTGCTGTCACCATTCCCAGGACACTATGTGCTCGTGAGCTCCAGGGCCACTTCCCTGAGGCCAGTGGTGACAGTGCCACACCCTGGCTACCAGTAACCGGGCACAGCAGGGTGTGGGCAGAGGGCGAGGAGGCGGGCATTGGCTGCCCTTCTCTGCTGTGCTGGACCCTGAGCTGCTAAGCACCAACTACTTGGTGAAGCTGCCCAGCCCCACTTGCTCATCTGAGTGAGGCCCTCGGGACGCCCTGCTGTGACCTACCAATGTCCCCAGGCTTGTGAGAGGGCCCAGCAGAGGGGAAGCCAGGGGCCAGGCAGCTCAGCCTTGCACAGTCAGCCATCTGGAGAAGGTTTGTTCCCCGCAGAGCGAGCTGCTCAGACTCAGGCAGCACTACCCCACAAGGTGCACACCTGGCACTCGGGGTCCCACCGAGCCTCTGAAGTCGCTCCTGGTTGGAGGCTTCTGGGGGAGCCTCCGAAGGGGTGGCGGTGCGCAGTAGGATGGCTCTGATGTCACTTAGAAGGTCAATAAGCTAGGCAAGCAGTGGCCCCTCTGCACAGCAGGCCCCTTCTGCCCCCCCACGCTCTCTCAAACTGGCTGAAATGTCTCCCTCAATGCCCAGAGTGTCTGGAGGGGCATCTCAGGTGGCCGCTGTTGGCCAGCACGTGGCTGACACTGCTTTCCACACTTGCTGCGGCGAGGTAGGGGGACTGCCTCGCTCTGGCCCCATGCCTGTGCAGAGCAATCAGAGGACCACATGCTCCACCCCTAACTCCTTGCTCCACCCAGGCACAGGCTGCAATGGCCTCATGTCAGGCTCCACCCAGTGCCTGGCCTGCCCTTTGACCCTGGTCATCTTCCACACCCAGGGGCAGATGGGACCTCCCCAGGAGACTGGCCTGTCTCCTGCCCAGCCCCAGGGAGAATGGCTTCCCTCCACCCTCTCATACCTGCTGTGGCCCTGTGCTGCTGCCAGGTAATCACGGGCTTCGTGCCATCTCCCCTGCCAGGCCGGGGACTCCCCGAGGGGAGCAGCCCATCTCGTTCAGCTCGGCAGCACTGGTGTCCAGCACAGGGTTGAACACAAAGCAAGTGGCAGGGCCTGTTGGCGGGTGAGAGAATGACTGAAAACAAAGGCATCTGCTTTATTTGTTTTCAGACAGCAGCACGTTATTTCCTAAGTACATGGCAGCCGAGCTCAGAGGACATGAGGTGCCCCTGGGAAGGAGCATGGCACAGTGGCGTCACCCAGGGTCTGTGCCTGTGGTCCCATGGCCGGTCCCTGGGTCAGAGCTGCAAGCTGGTGCCCAGGGCCAGGTGTGGTGGCTGCTCCTCAGCCCTGCAAAGGAAAGATCAGAGTTTAGTTACAGCCCTTGCTGCCCCCTGAGCCTCTGCTCCCAGTGGCCCCCGAGCCCTGCTCCCATCTCCATTCCCAGCAGCATGCAGCCCCTCGAGGGACACATTCCCACAGCAATCCCAGCTGCCAGGACACTGTGGGCTCCCAAGCTGGCCTAGAGCCAGCCTCCACCTAGGGCACAGCACAGTCTCACTCCACTTCTGCTTTGCTCACTGAGGCTGCCCTACGCCCCCACCCTAACAGCTCAGCACACTCCATGCACAGTTACTCGGCCCTGGGCCTGGGGTGCTCTGGGTGTCTGAGCTGTCTCTGGAGCTCGGTGCGGGAAGCAGTTCTGTGACCACCCAGCTGTTCCACCACAAAGGCCTCTGTCCCTTGCCATCTGGCCGCTTCTAGAAGCAAATTCCTCTTGGGGTCCTTCCTCTTGGTCAGGAGCCTCATGTGGTGGGGACTGGCAGAGGGTGGTGAGGATTTCTCCAGCCTCACTGTGACTCAGGCATAGGGTGCCACTCGAGATCCAGGCGCCAAGGCTGAAGCCGAGCACCCTGTCCTGGCATGACATTCGTGGGCTCCAAACAGCACAGGCACCTGGTTGGCTTCCGCAATGGCCAGCTGGTCATCTCCAGTGTGCTCTCTGATAGCAGTGGGGTGAGGGTCAGGAAGCGTCCCAGAGTCTGTCGGGCCTCTGGACCCCAGGAATGCTGGAGCTAACTGCATTCTGCCTGCCTCATCATCAATGGTGCAGTGAAGACACATGGGTGAGACGTGCTTGTTAAGGACACACTGTGGGGGCAGCAGGGCTGAGAACCGCCACAGACCTCGGGGAACAGGAGGAGGGACAGAGGCCCGGGCTGGGAGCAGGGGGAGTGAGGGGACCACCTATGGTGGGGCCGAATCCTTGGTTGCCTGCTGGGTGCCCAGCTCCTCTGTCCAAGGTCAGTGGGGGTGGCACACCCCCTTCTGTGCTTGCCCTGAAATCAGGCAAGCAGTTCTCCCTCCTCTGCTTCTACCCTGGGCTTCACACTGTGAGGGCTGACTGAGGCTCCATGCCCACCCATCCCGCAGGGCAGCCACTGGGCTGGGGGCGCTGGTGTGGGCTATGCCCAGCGGGCATGAACAGAGTGGAGTCCCAGCCTGGGCACACTCACAAGGCCCAGGCCCAAGGGACTATACAGTAAGTGGGAGAGCCCTCAGACACAGCCCGAGAGCACACAGCCTCTAACCTCAGCCTTTTTTATTTTTATTTTTTGTAGTGCTGGAGACAGACCCTAGGGTCTTAGGCACACTGTGAAAGCGCTCTACCATCAGGGGACCCTCTCAGCCCAAAAGGCCTCAGCCCTTTCCATTACAGGCACCTAAAGCAGCTTGTCTCCTACTCTGGCAAAATAAGCTTTTCTGCTAGGTGTGGTGACATTCACCTGTAATCCCAGGCAGTAGGAAGGCTGAGGCAGGATGATCACAAATTTGAGGCCAGCCCAGGTAATTTAATAAGACTTCATCTCAAAATAAAATGAAAAAGGGCTGGGGCTGGGGATGTAGTTCAGTGGCACCGCACCTGCCTGGCAAGTGCAAGGTCCTGAGTTCGATCCCCGGTACCACAAAAAAAAAAGAAAAAAAAAAAAAAGAAAGAAAAAGGGCAGGGACATAGCTCAGTGGTAGAACATTTGCCTAGCATGTGTGAAGCCTCGGATTTAATCCTCAGTACTACTTCCTACCCCTCAAAGCAACAGCTTTCCTGGAGGGAGACAGCCTTATCCTACACTTTTTGAAAGACTTTACATCCTAGAGTAGCCTATGACATCAGAAGACCCAGTGGGGCTTGGGTAGGAGGACAGAACCATCCAGAAGAGAGGATAGCAGCCACAGACAGCAGAAGAGGGACAAGAGCTGCTGCAGGACCAGAGGGCAAGGGAAGGCTTGGGTACCTCTTGGTATGAGAACGGCCTGGGCCGGCTCCCCTTTGGTCCAGCAGCTGCTCCGCTCCTCTTCCTTCCACGAGGCTGTCCCTGCCCTCACTTGACCAACCTCCCCTCCTCACTCACCGACCCCAAAGGCAGGGAGTCTGGGCACACGGATGCCCCTGGCTGGTGCTGGCCCCTGGAAGACAAGGGCTCTCCTTGGGCAGAGTCTGAGGCACTCATGGGAGCCAGCAGGCAGAAGCTCTGAAGTGGCAGGTGACTGAGGAAGCTCTCCTGGCACATGCAGGGCCCTGTGCCCAAGGCAGGCAGCTGTACCTTGTGGGTGGCACTCACGCAGTGCTGGTAGGCCTTGACCAGGTCCGAGCACAGCAGCACCTCTTGCACATGGTCACGGTAGCAGCGAAGGATCTGGGCCTGCAGCCCTGAGCATACGGGCTCCACCCTTCGGGGCCTGTGGGTGACAAGGGCAGGCAGGCTGGTTCACGTGGCATCATGCGCCAGGACACTCCCCAGTGGGCAGGTAGGAAAGAGGCTCACGTTAACTTGACACCCTTGTGCCAGAGGCCAGCAAAGCCCCAGAAGTCCCCCAGTGCCCATGTAACCCATCCGAGGTGGTAGAGGACACAGTGGGGTCCAGCCCTGGGGGGTCTGAGGCTCACATGGTGCAGGTGTCAAGCACTGGGCTGTGGGTCTAGGGCTCCACATGGTGCTGCAGCCTGAGGCCTCCAGAGGCCAGAAGGGGCCTGAAGGGCAGTGACCCTGTGCAGACCTGGCGTCTGAGATGGCCCTGTGGCTGCACCCAGGTCAGCTACCTTCAGGAGCTATAACCACAGGATATATACACATTGCATTCATATTCTTTTTGTTTGTTTGTTTTTTGTTTTTTGAGTCAGGGTCTCACGCTGTAATTCAGCCTGGCCTCGAATTCATGGTAATTCTCCTGCCTCAGCCTCTCAAGTGGTGGGATGACAGGCATGTGCTATTGTGCCCAGAAATCATTTTCTCACACAAGACCGTTTTCCTCATTTCAAAATGAAAGATGCCGAAACAAGGAAAACTGGGAACCTACAGAAATGTGCAAAAAGAAATAAAACATTTTCGGGTAAACCAGTTCACGCCGGAGCCCTAGGAAGGAAGCGTCGTAGTAGGACTCGGCCGCTCTGCGGGACTGAGGAAAAGCTCGCACCAGGCTGCACTGCCATAGGCAAGGGAGACCCCAACAAGCCGTGGGGCAAGATGTCTTCATATGCCTTCTTCGTGCAGATCTGCTGGGAGGAGCACAAGAACAAGCACCTCGACTCCTCGGTCAACTTCACCGAGTTCTCCAAGAAGTGCTCGGAGAGATGGAAGACCATGTCAGTGAAGGAAAAGTCGAAGTTTGAAGATATGGCCAAGAATGATAAGGCTCGCTATGACAGGGAGATGAAAAATTACGTTCCTCCCAAGGGTGGGGATAAGAAAGGAAAGAAGAAAGATCCCAATGCACCTAAAAGACCGTCTGCCTTCTTCCTGTTTTGCTCTGAATATCGCCCAAAGATCAAAAGTGAACACCCAGGGCTGTCCACTGGAGATGCTGCAAAAAAATTGGGGGAAATGTGGTCTGAGCAGTCAGCCAAAGATAAACAACCATATGAGCAAAAAGCAGCTAAGCTAAAGGAGAAATACGAAAAGGATATTGCTGCATACTGTGCCAAGGGCATAAGTGAAGCAGGAAAGAAGGGTCCCGGTAGGCCAAGAGGCTCAAAGAAGAAGAATGAACCAGAAGATGAGGAGGAGGAGGAGGAGGAAGAGGAGGAAGAGGAAGAAGAGGAAGAGGAGGAGGAGGATGATGATGAAGAATAAATGGCTGTCCTGTAATGGCATGTGGAGTAAATGTGTGCTCAGGCAATTGTTTTGCTAAGAATGTGAATTCAAGTGCAGCTCAACATTAGCTTCAGTATAAAAACTGTACAGATTTTTGTATAGCTGATAAAATTCTTTGTAGAAAAAATACTTTTTAAAAAAATTCAGGTTGTAGCTTTTTGAGGAGCTACTACATACAGTTAGATTTTAAAGCTTTTTGATGTTGAATGTTCCTAAATATTTAATGGTTTCTTTCATGTGTGTGGTAGCACAGCAAATTTGCAGGAACTAGTACCAATAGTAAGTTTTGGGTTTTTTTAGGATGTTGCATTTTGTGTTTTTAAAAAAAAAATTTGTAATAAAATTATGTATATTAAAAAAAATAAAAAATAAAAAATAAAACATTTTCTGACTCATACTTCTCAGAGATAACCATGGAAATACTTTGAGATACTTGACTAGCTTTCTTTCTTCCTTTATCAAAGTAGTCTTAGGAACTATGACGAATGAATATGCATACTTTTTAAAAATTATGAAACAAAAATAAATGACAAGGACAACAAAACGTGGTATTATCTCAGATTGGTTCCCCTCCTTCCAGATTCTTCTTCCAGTCCTGCCTCCCTTCCCGCTTTTCTCCCTCACAGGTAACACACACTCCCACGGTGCTCCCACCCTCACCCATCGCTCCTCACCACAGCCCTGCAGCACACGCTGCCAGTTATCACCGCCTCCTTGCACACGAGGGCCCTGAGACACATGAAGTGAGGGCACGGTGCCAGGAAGCAGGAGGACACGTTTATTTCCATCATCTGGGTCACTCTACTCCCGATTTGCTTTCCGAGTGGACTCTGTGGCCAGGCGCACACAGGCTCGCCACAGTGCAGGTGGGCTTGCAGTACCCTGCTGCAGTTCAGAATTCAATACCCATCATGGTGGAGGGCACGGAAGGGAGGTGTAGAGAGGCAGAGAAACGTCCTTCAAGTTTCTTAGCAATAGAAGGATGGGTATTGACCACCTTCTACTGCAGACACGTGGAAGAAAGACGTGTTAGCTTGTTGTTTCCCACCCACACCTCTATGTTTAAAACACGTGGCTGTGAAGGACGTCAACACTGGGATGAAGCAGCACCATTATTATCTCATGATGATGTAACCAAACCAAATTCCTTGGTTAGGAACAGCATGCAATAGAATACTCAGTGGCTTAGGGAACAAGAACCCACATGCAGGGGCACTTTAGCTCAGCAGTGGGGTGTGGCCACAAAGGTCCAGTCCTGCCCTGCCGTTGGGACTTTCCATTCCACTTTCTCCAGCTCTAAGGCTGCACATCCACCTACACCCTGCTCCACACCCACAGAGCCTCTTTCGGAGGAGGACACATGGGGGTTTTGTCTCTGCATCACCTCTGTCCTCATATGCAGGACAGATAGCCCTTGGATGGAGCCCTAGCTTTTAGTCCCTGGAGGCTCCCTTCCCTGGTGTCCATCTGCCACTGCCACTACCACTGCCACTGTAGAGGTGTCTGCAGCAAGTCACATCTGGGTTCACAGGGTCACCCCGCATCCCTCTCCAAGTGCTGGTAGAATGGTTTGGTTTCTGTATTTAAGAGTCTTCTGGCATGGCTGTGTCCAGGCCAGGTGGGGTGAAGCTCTGGGGTCAGCAAAGGTACAGCTGTCCTGAGCTGTCAACTGGTGTGAGGCTTCCTGACCTGAGCGTCAAACGTGCCCCAGGTAGACCAGGTGGACATACAGTGCAGGGCTATGATGAGCAAGGAACAGCAGATCCCTGTCCCTGTGCCCTCCTTCTGTGGCTTCAGATGAGGGCCCTGTGCCTTTTGAGGGCAAACCTCCCAGAACACCCAGTGAGCTCCCAGGTCAGGAGAAACTGGGCCACAGTGAAATCTAGCCTCTGCACACCAGTATCACCTCTGGGCCCGCAGAGGCCTCTCCCCTCTGGGATTTATCAGAAACAGTGTGAAGAGACAACAGTACGCAAATGTCAACTGGAAGAAATTTCACCCACTCGTCCATAAAGAGTCTCTGAATGGGATAAGACAGGGTGAGCATCACTCCTGAAATGAGTGCTTTCTCTGAAGCAAGGCAGGGCTGGGCTGGGGTCAAGCCATTCATGAAAGGAGGCACTGGCTACCCGGCCCAGCCCACCCATCAACCAGCCCCTGCACCCTTTACCAGGCATACAAACCAGCTCCAATTTGTAGCAACACTCGGCCTGTCAACAGCTGCTTTTCCAGTGCATAAATAAAGGTATTCATGGGGTGTGGTAGACTTTCCAGGGTCAGAATTCTGCCCAGACCCTCCCTACCCGAGGGCCATTCATTGCAATAAAGATGTGCTTTGCATTCAAGATTGAATGTCTGTGTGGCTGTGAAGGGAATCACATCACACCAGTCGGTGTGTGGAGTCCCTGGTCTCTTAGGCCTCAGGGCAAGGTAGGAAAGTCCTGGCCCTATTTCTCACATCTTGCAGTGGGAACAGTGACCTCGCCTGCCCGGACTGGTGTGTGTATGAGAGCGTGTGTTGCAAAGTGCTGCTGTCATTAGTGGTAGCTGCTGGCGTGGGAGACTGAGGCAGAGCCGGGCTTGAGGTGGAGTGGAGTGTACTTGCAGAAAGTGTACTGGCAGTACTTGGTGGAGAAGCACTGAGACACAGAAGCCTTTGGGGAGGTGTGCAGCAGATGTTGGGCTTGCAGGGTGGGACCTGACCTCAAAGTGTGCCTCTTCCTTCAAACTCAGTGCTGAGACCACTCAAGATCCAGTTCAGACAGGGCCCAGGACCCAAGACTTGGGCCACACCATTTAGACTGGGTTGGTAAGAGCCGGCTCACAGACTTGGCAAAACGGTCAATGCTGGAACTGTGACCCTCTGGGGAAGACGGAAAACTGGGTCCCCAGCAGTGGTGATCCACTGCCCGGAAGGAAATTCATCCTCATCTACTGTGGCATTCACAGTGTCTAGCCTTATAGCACAAGCCTGTCCTCTCTACTCTAGCGGACAGTAGAATGGACAGGCATGGGGCACAGCCAGAACCGCTGCCAGGAGAAAGCATCCTGCTGAGGCCTGGGACAACTCTCTACACACCACCAAGACTGTGGGGGGTCTCCTCACAATTTAAGCCCTTCCTGCACCCTCAGAATGTGAGCACAGGGTTAAGACAGATGTAATCGGTAGATGCTGAGATCACAGTGGGGTAGCGTGACCCACAGAAATCCAGTTAAGAACAGAGGTAGAGACCGAGCTATGCTCCAACGAGCCAAGGACCATGGGGACTGCCAGCAGCACAGAAGTGTGGAGGGCTCTGGAGCAGAAGCCCCACCGCAGCACCTGAGGTCTGGACTCAGGCCTTTGAAGGCACATGAGTTGTGGTACTTGGTGACAGCAGACTAGGAAATCTACCTGGTCAGGCATGTACAGTAGAAGAGGGGTCCTGGGGCAGTGTGGGCAGTGGCAGATGGACCCTGGGTCCACTTTCCAACAGAGAGTGACATCCTCTCCTGAATCATGGCCTGAGCATAGTTGCTGCATGTCTGTGAGCACCTACCGTGTGCGAGGCTCTCTGCCAATCTCTGCACAGAGTTCCAATCCTGGCC